AGCTCCCAATATGACATTTTTTTGAAATTCTTGTACAAGCTGCCCGAGCAACATGTATTCCATACAAGGAAATGAGATACAAAAAATTCTCCTAAATGGATAAACAATAGATTAAAATATCTCATAGGTCAAAAGAATGACATTTAAAGGCAAATCAACAGAGGAGAGGGACGCTTAAGTAAAAAAATATATATTGTATTCAAATGAAGAGAAAAAAAAAACAAGAAAAGCCAAACAGAGATAATGAAACTGAAGTCAAAAGGGAAATCAAAATTAAACCCAAGTTTCTTTCTGGTATATAGGAGTATGACCAGAGTCAAGATAGGCCCCTTAAAAATTAATCAGGTCAGCTGACTGTCAGTGACAGAGAAATGTGTACAATTTTTAACACTTCTTATTTCTACACAGGAAGATGCAGGAAACTTTCCAATTACAAAGGTTAGGAAGAAAATAAGTCCTGCAAGATCAAAGTCACGAGTGACGTGGTTTTCAAGACAAGTAGATTAAAACCAAAGAAATCAACAGGAATGTAAGAAGAACCTTGGCAAATCAATGGCTAGTCTTTTCAGTAGGTCACTACAAACAGGTATCATACTGGTTAATAGGAAAATGGCAAGTGTGATGATACCTATCTACTAACCAGGAGAGAACTCTTTTGTCTTGAATTATAGGCCAATTAGCCTAACCTCTATTGTGGGAAAACTGATGGAATCAATATTTTTAGAAGCACTTTGAAGTCACCTTGAAAGATATAAATTGATCAAAAAGTCAGCAGAGTTTTACATAAGGGCATTCATTCTTACAAATATACATTTTTCACTATGGTGTTCAAGGCAGCAGACAATAATAACAAATATGATACTTTGTATATAGACTTCAGTAAGGCCTTTAACAGAGTTCTCCACAGGAGACTGTTGAATAAAGTAAAGGCAAATGGAATAGGAGGGGAAATTTTCTGGATAGAGGCATGGTCGACCACTAGGCAACACAGTTTGTATAAATCGGGAGAAATCAGTGTGGGGATGCATTACAAGTTGTGTTCCACAGTGGTCAATATTGGGCATACTGATGTTCACAATATACATAAACAACATAGATGAGGGAATAAATAGTGACTTAAGCAAGATTGCCGATGAGAGTAAAACAGGTCGTCAAATAAATTCTAATAAAGACTGTAGAGTGCTACAGAAAGATCTGGTTAGTTTTGAGCAGTAGTCGGAGAAGTGGCAGATGCAGTTTATTGTAGACAAATGTAAGGTTCTAATCATGGGAAAAGTAGATAATCATGGCCTTCTAAACTAAATAATGTAGATCTCAATCAAACTAAATACAAAAAGATTTTGAAGCTCTGATTAGCAGTAATCTAAAGCCCAGACAACAGTACATAAGTATTTGTAATGAAGTTAAAAGAATGTTTGGCTTCATGTCAAGAAGAATAAGTAGAATCCTCAGGTTATACTTTAACTTTATATATTCTTGTTAACATTGCACTCTCTAGTGTACAATTGGGAGGAATATGATAGAAGTGTACAAATGGAAGACCAGAATAAATAAAGGGGATATAAATAATGAGCTAAAAATATTTAACCAAGTCAGGGCTCACTGAAATGGATTCAAGTTGGAAGAATTTTGATTCAGAGAAGATATATGAACAATGTTTGGCAATGAAGTTGTGGATGAGTGGAACGTATTCCTGAGTAGTGTCACTGAAGTGAGAACTCCGGATTTAAAAACAGGTTGGACAGGTACATCAGTAGGTGTGGTTGGGTGTGAGTTGGGCCTGCCTAGCATGGGCCAGTAGACCTGCCACAGTGCTCCTTCTTTCTTATATTCTAAGATATATTTGTTTCTGTATGTGCTCCTGTATATGCTAAGATACATGTATCTTCTCTGTAGTCACAGAGGTGTATTCACCGAATTATTTTTGCGGGGAGATTCAAGACTCTACTCCTGGCACTGTCTCCCTAAACCACTTTCATCAGCATCACTGACATCTAGTCTCTTTATATCTGTTCTTGAAGCTGTGCATTAAATTTGTCTTTACTACTGCCTCACACAAGTCATTCCTTTTTTCAACTATCTTGAGACTAAAGTAATAATGCACTTCTCCACATCCCAATGGCTTATCTTTAATTTCAGAATCCACCTGTATTCCTTGATCCTGGCCCTCTTAATTCAAAGTCTGCCCTGATCTCATATATGCCACTAGATAAATATATGGGTATACTATGTATGTTACTTGATACATTTCTCTTCTGTGTATTCTCATATATGCTACTAGATAAAGTTTTGTAAAAAAAAAAAATCTTATATAATCATTATATATGATTTTGCTACCATGTGAACTTTTACACAATACATTACTGTGGAGTACATGTCCTAGCCTGGCAGGAGTAGCTGGCAAGCTGTAACCTGCAATTGCCTAGGTACGTCTTCACTTTCTTTAGCCATCTGTCACATGAAAGTTTTCCAATTAGTAAACTGCTTTAGTATGTGCTAGAAAGAAGTGAGAATTGCACAGAGAAGGTAGAGTAACATATAACTGCAAATGAGGTGTGAGCTATCCTGTTTCTACCTCGAGTCTTATACAGTGGATCCTCCACTTGCGAGCACATCCACATGAGAGTTTTTCCAAATACGAGCAGTTCATCGGTCGATTTTTTGCTTCCATACACGAGCGAAATTTCCATAAGCGAGCGAGCCTCGAGGGAGGTTTCTTAACGCCGGTGAGGGGCTCTTGCTCTTGATCTAGGGGGTTGGCTCTCGTTTGTTTCTTGGGCTATCTTACTGAAACTTGGGCAGTGTATGACTGAAAGATGCTTCTTAACGTACACCAAAAATGAAAGAAATCGGACCATAAATAATAGAGTTCACTTCTAAGCCATTAGCCGCCCCTTAGCGGCATTTTCATATGGTCATTATGGTTGTATTCTCGTTTTTTTTGGTCTCATTTTATAGAATGGAAGTTATATTACAGAAATAGATATGATTTTGATTGGTTTCACAATGAACAGTACCTTGAAATTGAGCTCAAAGTAGCAGAACTGTTTGATTCTCTGGCGATGTTCAAGAGTAAACAAATGACGTCACTGTCCATTCCAATATGCAGTCGTGAATGGGTTGACATTATTTATACAATTATTACAATAATGCAGAAGTCTGCATAACAGTAAATCTTCTATTTTTTGTGTGAAAAAATTAAAAATTATTTATACTGTAATAATAATAATACGTATAATAATAAAAGTATAATATATAATAATAATAATACGTATAATAATAATGTACTAAAAATAATATACATGTACTATATAATAATAATTATAATAATAGATGGCAGTGTTTACCACAACAAAGCGGGAGCAGTTGTGGCTGCCTCCACCTGTTACATAATGACATTCTAGAGTATATATCAGGTTTCTATATTATTTATATTGTTTATTATGTCATAGCAGATGAACTGTGATAGATAAATAAGCGAAATTATTCAAGGAGTATTTTGTCCGGTCTCCAGAAAAAAACTCGTCCGCTGCCGACGATACCACTACATGAATGACATACATGTATTTTATTCATTCTAGAGTATATATCAGGTTTCTATGTTAAATTTTATTATTTTATTATGTCATATTAGATAAATAAGCCGTAGAGTTGATATTAGGGAAATTATTGAAGTATTTTGTCATGCCTCCTGAGAGCCAGAACGAATTAATTGCATTTCAATTTAAATGAAAATTGACTCTGAAGACGAGCAAATTCAGATGTGAGCAAGGTCACAGAATGGATTAAACTCGTGAGTGGAGGTTCCACTATATGTTACTGAACCATTCTTAAATGTTATATTTCGCATAACAAGGGGCTTTCTATAAAGTAAAAATATATACATCAATCATATTAATCACTCTAATTGTAAAATATACTGTATTCCATTTTACAGAAACAAAGTTTGTTTTGTTTTGTCTTAGCTGCTAAGGTGTGGTTGTTTTGTCTTAGCTTCTATGGTGTGGTTTGCTAAAAATACTTAAGGAAAGAAACTTGAAAATTGTACAGCAACTTCAAATGGATTGATCTGATGTGATGGTGTGAGTGAGTTTAAGCATGTTAAAACTTCAAGCAACAGTCTGAAGTTCATAGACTGGCAGAAAATATAATATTTATTTCCCCAGAGTAGTAGTGGTAGTTACTGATGGTAAATGAAGAAGTGTTGTGGCACAAAGACACTTAAATTCTTAATATTTAGTTTAAGTTTGCACTGACTGAATGACTTGTTTGAACTTACAGATGAAGATGTACTGGAATAATGATGTATTATGCATCAGTGGGACTATCATAGATTTTGGAAAATGTATAATTTTCTCGATTATGTATCACGTGAAGGTGTGCAAATTTTCATATTTGATACAATTATTGTTGAGGCAGCATGTGTCTGTATGGCACACTGCCAAGACAGCGTGTGTCTGTATGACACATTGTCGAGGCAGTGTGCGTCTGTCTGGCACACTGTTGAGGCAGTGTGTGTCTGTATGGCACACTGTTGAGGCAGTGTGCATGTTTGTACAGTACACTGTCTAGGCAGTGTGTGTGTGTTTGTATGGTACTGTTGAGGTAGTGTGTCCATATGGTACACTGTTGAGGCAATGTGTGTGTGTCTGCATGGTACATTGTTGATGCAGTGTGTCTGTATGGTACACTGTCGAGGCAGTATGTGTCTGTGTGGTACAGTGTCGAGGCAGTGTGTGTTTTTTACATAGTTGAGGCAGTGTGTTTGTATAGTATACTGTCATGGCAGTGTGTCAATATGGTACACTGTTGAGGCAGTGTGTCTGTATAGTATACTGTCATAGCAGTGTGACTGTATGGTACACTGCAGTACTCCTGCTATTGTTGTTGAGGCAGTGTGTACAGTGTGTTTGGAACTTCTTATTAGAACACTGCCTCCTCCTCAAAACAAAATTATTTTCACTTTTCTGCAACACTTTGAATCACTATCAAACATATAAGAAATTTTAAATTTTAATACTATATAAGATTGTTAGATTTATGTCTTTTAGACAAAGAACATCATTATGGATTTTATATACACCTTTCATATGTTGTACTAAAACTGAACATTTTAAAATTATTTTACTGTGAACATTGATAAAACTTTTCTTCCTATAAACTCTTGTTATTAATACTACAAATTTTCTGAGAAATCCTGAAGACATTTGTAACAACACAGTTAATCATCCTTATGAATTTTCATGTGTGTTGCAAGAGTAGATTTATATAAGAACTCTTGTAAACACACTGAACATTTATGTGATTTCCCACCTGAATGAGCTCCCAAATGTTGTACTAACTGAGACTTTTGATTGAAGTCTTTCAGACACACAGAACAGCGGAATGGTCTGTCACCTGTGTGTATCCTCATGTGCTTTGCAAGATTTGATTTTACTGAAAACTGTTTTTGGCACACTGAACAATCGTATGGTTTCTCTCCGGTGTGAATTCTCATGTGCTGTATTAGAGCAGAATTTTGTGAAAATTCTTTTGAACATACAGAACACTGACTTGGCTTCTTTCCTGCATGAGCTCGGGTGTGTGTTACTAGCGCAGACTTTGTTATAAACTCTTCTTGACACAAAGAACACTGATACGAATCCTCTTCTGTATGAACACTCATGTGTTTCACCAGGTTTGATTTTATGGCAAAATTCTTTAAGCACTCTGAGCACTGAAAAGGTTTCTCTCCTGTGTGAATTCTTAAATGTTTAACTAGAGATGATTTTTCTGAAAATCTTTTATGACACTCTGAACACTTGTGTGGTTTCTCTCCTGTGTGAACCTTCATATGTTGCATTAGAGATGATTTGACTTTAAATTCTTTCAAACACTCAGTACACTGATAAGGTTTTTCTCCTGTATGTATTCTCATGTGCTTCATTAGGGATGATTTGGCTGAGTAATGTTTAAGACACACTGAACACTGATATGGTCTCTCTTTTGTGTGAACTTTCATATGTTGTGACAGAGCTGAATTTTGTGCAAAGTCTTTTAAACACTCTTTACACTGATAGGGTTTCTCTCCAGTATGAACTCTAATATGCTTTACCAGGGATGATTTGATTGAAAAGCCTCTTTTACACTCTGAACATTGATATGGCTTCTCTCCTGTATGAATTCTCATATGCTGTTCAAGTGCTCTTTTTACTTTAAACTCTTTCGAACATTCCGAACAACGATGTGGTTTTTTCCTGAAAGAACTTAAGTTTTTCTTGCTGGATGTGACCTTTTTTTTATTGCTTGACGACATACTGATCACTGACATGGCTTCTGTCTTAAATGAACTCTCATCTGTGTTAAGAGTGAATATATTAGAATCACTTGATAATAAACTACAAACATTAGAATCGCTTAAAGGTAGAATGCAGCTATTAGAATCACTCGAAGGCAGAATGCAGCTATTAGAATCACTCGAAGGCAGAATGCAGGTTTTGTTATCACTTGAAGACATACTGATCACCGACATAGTTTCTCTCCTACAAGAACTTGTGTGTTAATAGTGCAAATTTTAATTTAATTTAAATCTTTTACAAATACTGACCATATGAAGCAAATCCCCACCTGTATTAAACTGCATATCTTATCAAAGAAAATGTCTGAGGTTCTTTTAGGCACTATGAACACTCTGTACCATTATCTTCTCTTATTTTTTCACAAAAAAATCCCATTAACCAAAAATTTGAACATTAATAACACTGACTTTAGATGAAATGACTGTGTATTTCTATATATTTTTCTTTCCCTACTCAGGTTTCACAAGGTAAATTACAGATATATTACTGAAAGAACATTACCAATACTAACATTATTTTTTTCTAAATATTCCTCACAAGTTTTTTTTTCTCAAAGGACACTGGGCACTGATAAATATTTTATGTTTTCTGAAGAGTCATCAGTTATTAAGGAAAAGATAATAGTTAGCATTTCAAGAAAGAAAACTCATAAGTGGTTGTGTACCAAGTCTCCTTGTGCTATATAAGATGACCTTCTCCAAAATTTGATTCAATGGAATTGGTACCATTACCAATCTGCACCTTTTATGTAATTTCTTTATTACCTTATATATACATAAATGACCCCTTCTCCTGTATCCGTTACTAAAGTTAAAGAAACTTTTGTTTTTCTTTTTGGGCCACCGTGCCTAGGTGGGAAACTGCTGGTTTGTTGAAAGAAGAAAGATGTAAACACAAGCTATACTGCTAATGAGCATGCTGGTACATAATCTAAAATTATATTTCACATCTATCATTCAAACACAACATAAATAACTTTATAAATTTAGTAAAAATGCAGCAGTTCATTAATAATGCAATAATCAAATTTGTTACATTTTTCTCAAATATTACTAAATATAATTATTAATAACGTGATAAAAGTCAGTTTTCATTAAATACTTGAGCTTTCAAAAATATCAAGACACAATGGAGAAAAATGTTACAAAATTTCAATCCACATACTTGAAAATAACGCTAAAAAAACAAAAAAAAACGTATAGGAAGAGTTTTCTTTTTAAATTTCAGAGAGAAGACAATATTAATTACATTAATAGTGAACTAAGAAGAGTAACCTGATACTGGAAATAAGACTAAAAGTGAAAATTGCTGCAGCACTGTTCTGTAGACTCTGGGAAAGCTGGACTCACAATATTGAACAACTTACAAACTGAGTCCTTAGTCACACAATGTACATCAAATAAAATTACATTTCTAAAAATCACCTGACACAGCAATCACATAAAATTAACACCAGTTTTCATTTCATACAGAATAAACACTTTTCAAATCTTGATTTTCTATGTGGTAAATGTTGATGATAGACATTCAGTGCTTCAGAGTATCAAATTTCTCTGCATTGTCTGATAATGTTGCTGTGGGCAATGTTTCAGTGGGTGTGCTTCATTTACACCCAGAAAGTACTCAAGCTGAGCTCGTAGCAGTAGTGAGCTGTGATGCTTCTTGTAATATTTCTGAGACTGTGGTGTACTTTATGCATGGAGTACTCCAGCTACTTACATGAGCTTTATGGCACCAGGTGTTGGCACTGTAGGTACAAGTCTTCTGATGGAAAGCTCACCTGAAAAGGAAAAAAAAAGGCAGTTGCACTGTACTCAAATTAAACAAATACGGAACATAGTTGAGTTTATCGTAATTCAACTTGTGTGAGAAGGAAATACAAATTATCCCGGTACACTATGACATTTCTCCGACAATACATTTAAGACAGACCGTTAATACCATCTTTGCCAAAGCATCTAAAGGACTATAATAATAAAGCTTTAAAATGTTAAAAAAACTGATAAATCTGAATGGAGTAATTAACCCTTAAACCGTCCAAACATAGATCTACATTCACGTGTGTTGCTCTCCGACCTTGATTTTCCAGTATTTGAAAGCATGTAAAAAAAACGTAGATCTATGTTCAGAGCCCTCCGCACATGGACGTACATCTACGTTTGGACAGTTTAAGGGTTAAAATAAATCCAATTTTGTTCCGAAGTATTGTTCCAAAGCATGAAGTTGTAAGAGCAACTAAAATGCTGGAGCAAGGAGCTAGTAACCATTCTCCTGTATAAATATAGATGTAAAAAGAACCTGCTCGGGTCCACGTAAGTATGACAAGTGCACTTAAATTATTCGAAACGTTGAAGGCCTTGATCTGTATTCCTGGAATGCAGGCGAAGAGGATACATGATAATACGTTATACACTTGAAGGTCCGAAGGGATTGGTACCAAACAAGAAAATCACTCCCTATGAAAGCAAAAGACTTGGCAGGAAATGCAACATTCCCCTGATGAACAGCAGGGGTGCCACAAATACATCGAGAGAGAACACAACAAATGTCCGGGGGCCCAAGACTCCCAGCATACATAAGGGGGATTACCAATAGACCCCTGGACAAGCACATAAAGTCAGTACCTGACCAACCGGGCTGTGGTTCGTACATCAGCTTGCATGCGGCCAGCAGTAACAGCCTGGTTGATCAGACCCTGATCCACCATGGGGCCTGGTCTCAGACTGAGCCGTGGGGGCATTGACCCCCGAAACCCTCTTCAGGTAAACCCTGCCTCGGTGGGAAATGGCCAGTGTGCAATAAAAAAAAAAGTATTTTCAAGGCTACACTTCATAACATGACCTGTCAAATTGCAGTGGAACCTCAGTACTCAAACAGCTCCCTACTTGAACAAAGTTCAGCACTAGACCAAACAAACACGACCTGCCAGAACTTTGCTGTAAATCATTTCGTGTTTCTTCGCATTTTTTGTTTTTTATGTTATTTGTATAAATAAGTCACCATGGGACCTATGAAGGTTAGTGATAACAGCCAACCAAAAAGAAAATTGGCTGGGAAGAATTTGTTCAATATTTGAATGGATCGGCACTCCAACAGCCTTCTGGAATTAATTAAGTTCGAGTACCGAGGTTCCACTGTATCTTGTCCAATTGCTAAGATGTAGACCAGGGAAAACATCCCAATACAGTCGTAAACTCGAATTTACCTGTTCTAATTGGCCCAGAATACTACATTTTTATGATGTCAAATAATACCTTTGATATACCTTTGAACAGTTTCAAGTGTTCATCTACTCTCTAAGCCTGGCCATGGGCCAGACTTATCTGTTGCTTGCCTGGTCAACCAGGCTGTTGCTGCTAGAGGCCCATTGCTCCACATATCCATCACAGCCTGGTTGATCTGGCACCTGGTGAAAATACTTGTCCAGTTTCGTCTAACCTTTCCATTTTTTTTTAATAAACACATTGTCCATTTCCCACCAAGGCAGGGTGGCCCAAAAAAGAAAAACTTTCAACATCATTCACTCCATCACTGTCTTGCCAGAGGCACACTTACACTACAGTTATAAAACTGCAACATTAACGCCCCTCGTTCAGAGTGCAGACACTGTACTTCCTATCTCCAAGACTCAAAGTCCGGTTTCCCTGAATCCCTTCCTAAGTGTTACCTTGCTCACACTCCAACAGTTCATCAATTTATTAATAAAAAAAAGACTTTACCATAAAGATAAAGATGTTTGACAGATATTGTGCTACAATGTTTAAAAATGAAATTCTACATGGAAAACCTCCTGGTTGTTCAGTGCATTTTGGGCAAATTAATGCTAACTTAAAAATATCTTCAAGCTAACCTAGAATATATAACACTGAGAAGCTAAATATATGAAAGAGCCAATTAGCCTAGGCTGAGGGTGGGAGGTGTAGCAAATATTTGTTTACTGGAGGTTTTCATTGCATTTATGGTTTTGGAAGGAAGGTGGGGTAAGGGTCGGCCTAGCAAAGGTTAGAGGGAGGGGTTAAAGGAGGTCTTGTGTGATGAGCTTGGACTTCCAGCAAGCGTGCATGAGTGCGTTAGATAGGAGAGAGTGGAGATAAATGGTTTTTATGACTTGAGGTGCTGTTGAAGTGTAAGCAAAGTAACATTTATGAAGGGATTCAGAGAAACTGGTTAGCCGGACTTGAGTCCTGGAGGTGGGAAGTACAGTGCCGGCACTCTGAAGGAGGGGTGTTGATGTTGCAGTTTTTTAACTGTGGTGTAGGCACGCCTCTGGCAAGACAGTGATGAAGTGAATGATGATGAAAGTGTTTCTTCTTTTTTGGGTCACCTTGTCTTCATGGGAAACAGCTCCTTAACCCTTTGAGGGTTTCGGCCGTACTAGTACGGCTTACGACCCAGGGTTTTTGACGTACTTGTAGACCTTAATTCTAGCGCTCTCAAATCTAGTGGGAGAAAGCTGGTAGGCCTACATATGAAAGAATGGGTCTATGTGGTCAGTGTGCACAGTATAAAAAAAATCCTGCAGCACACAGTGCATAATGAGAAAAAAAAAAACTTTGACCGTTTTTTTGGAATAAAACAGCGACTTTGCACTGTATTTTCGTATGGTATTTATTGTTGTATTCTAGTTTTCTTGGTCTCATTTTATAGAATGGAAGACATATTACAGAAATTGAGATGATTTTGACTGGTTTTACAATGAAAAGTACCTTGAAATTGAGCTCAAAGTAGCAGAAATGTTCGATTTTTACCAAAGTTCAAAGTAAACAAATCATGCCAAGCGTCCAATACACGTCAACTGGTGAGTCTAATATTCTTTTGCAAGTGCGCCAATATTATTTATACCATTTTTTACACTAATGCAGTAGTCTGCATAACAGTAAATCTTCTATTTTTTGTGAGAATAAAAATTCAAAGTGGAAAGCAAAAGAATGTAAGAGGGGCCTTGAGACGTGACTAATGAACAGAGGAAATGTCATTTTAGTGCCAGGAATGTCTTTCTTGTTTATTCTGGACCCTATTCGGAAATTGGCATCTTTTGAAATTTGTGCGAAATTGGCAAAATTGCTGAATTCTGACCACTGTACTGGATAGTTGAAATTGGTAAATGGGTGGTTTCTTGCACTCATTCGATAGACAAAATGGAGTTCTAGCAAAATATTCATGTTTTTTTTCGACTGAAAATGGGGCTGAAAGTGGGCAAAATCACCGATGCGTAAACATCGCCGAGACTGCTAACTTCGCGAGAGCATAATTCCGTAAGTTTTCCATCAAATTTCATACTTTTGGTGTCATTATGATTGGGAAAAGATTCTCTATCTTTTCATAAGAATTTTTTTTTTTTTTTTTAAATTTGACAGACCCTGAGAACGAGTCACGGAGAGGGCCTGTCGACCCTCAAAGGGTTAAACTATCCAAACGTAGATCTACATTGAAATGCGTAGTGCTCCAAACATAGATCTACATCCGATTTTACATGCTTTCAAATGGAGAAAATCAAGGTCAGAGCGTTACGCACGTCAATGTAGATCTACGTTTGGACAGTTTAAGGGTTAATGAAAAAAATCAATTAGTGAAATAATTGCAGAGGGTATAACAGTTTATTTTGGAGTGCCAGCAATTTTCAGGACAATTTGTAACTGAAATTATGGAGGACCAGGGGTTCAGGACAATGTTGAACCTGAAATTAAGGAGGACCAGGGGTTCAGGACAATATAGAACCTGTAAAAGAATTGTGTATAGCAAAAAGTTTGGTAACTGGCCAACCATATTTTAAGAGGAGGGAGACTAATATCTATATCCAACATACGATTAAAAAAATACATATACAGTGGTACCTCAGGGCATGAACAGCTCAAAACTCAAATTATTATGTAAGTGCTTTTGTAAGTGTATTTCTGGGGGTCTGAAACAGATTAATCTAATTTACATTATTCCTTATGGGAACAAATTCGTTCGGTATCGCCACTCTAACAGCCTTCTGGAACGAATTAAGTTCATATCCCGAGGTACCACTGTAATTATTTCTACATTTGCCACTATGTACTCTAAGTATACTCAGGTTGCACTTCTCACATACTGACTCATATCTCACATAAGCTGACTATACTCAGCTTATTCTTCTTTTATTTACTCATATCTCACATAACCAATAACAACTCAACACAAGACAGCTATTAGACCCATAACAAACTCAAATTAAAGATAACACTTAATGCCCTTGTTCAGATTTCAAAATCAAGTCAGTATAAATGTCATTCACTTATTCTAATATTCACTCCATGTCTTCAGGGCCCAAAACCATAATGTTGATGTAGACATAAGAGACTTCCTTGAGAGCTGTAACACAATACACAAGTACAATATAAAAACAAAATTACAATAAATACTACACAGTAAGTTGAGCCTTCAAGCTCAACTTTTTCTTCACAAAACTTGGAGTATGAAATAGCAAATACCAACTCTAACTAGATTTATTTTAGTTGCTGTGCAATCCAAGAAAGGTATCCACATATTGTATAATGCCACTCCCCTGTGCCTCAATGATCTTAGAAAGGTATTCCCATATTGTATAACCCCACTCCCCTGTGCCTCAATGATCCGAAGATGGTATCATTGTATTGCATAACCCGACTCCTGTACACTGACGATTCAAAGAAAATACAGTGGACCCCCGCTTAACGATCACCTCCAAATGCGACCAATTATGTAAGTGTATTTATGTAAGTGCGTTTGTACGTGTATGTTTGGGGGTCTGAAATGGACTAATCTACTTCACAATATTCCTTATGGGAAAAAATTCGGTCAGTACTGGCACCTGAACATACTACTGGAATGAAAAAAGTTCGTTAACCGGGGGTCCACTACTGCATAATGCATAACTCTGTTCCATTGCACCTTAGTGATCTGAAGGTATCCCTGTATTCCATAATCCTAATGTCTTGTACCTCAATGATCCGGGAAGGCATTCACAAATACCCAAATTTTTCAATAAAAATGGTAAATAAAGACATGCACAGACAAAATTTAATTCAAATCTTTCAGAGAAACCAGAGAGACCAATATGATAAAATACACAAGCACATTAGGGTTGAAGCTGCTCTGAAGTTGATCTATCAAGTTATCAGCATAGAAGGGTTGAAGCTACTATGAAGTGCCACCTGGCATCATTTCAATTTTTTTTTCAATTTTTCCCAAGAAAGCAAATTAGGATTTACACATGCAGTTTGGAGGGATATGTTGTGTATCTTTATACGTATATGCTTCTAAACTGTTGTATTCTGAGCACCTCTGCAAAAGCAGTGATAATGTGTGAGTGTGGTGAAAGTGTTGAATGATGATGAAAGTATTTTCTTTTTGGGGATTTTCTTTCTTTTTTGGGTCACCCTGCCTCGGTGGGAGACGGCCGACTCGTTAAAAAAAAAAAAAAAAAAAAAAAAAAAAAACATGCAAATTTTTCTTTAAGTAAGACTGACCAGTTTTTAACCTTTTCATGGTTGCAACCCCAAAATTAAAAGTGCTGACAGAGTCCAGATTAAAAAAAAATTTGGCAGTTGGCAATCTGGGCACAATTTATACACCAACAATTTCTACTATAAACCAATTCCCTTGCTCATTTCAATCAAATTCTGTTATTTCACTAGTATTCCTTCCGATCAACTGAGGACAAGAAGCCAACAATTCATCTACCTTATTTTTGTATAGAATAATACAAATTTGAATCTGAATATTCACCTGCCCACCCCCAACTTCATGCTGATACAAATATTATTGCCGAGTACCATTTCACATTGACTTGTCAAGCCTGTTGTAGAGGAGTGATATCTTAATAAATGTTTTGCTCTCTAATTGTGTCCAGTTCAACCATTCTCTCTAATTTTAAGTCTGATATTAACATAATAATTTATGTTATGTTAGATGAGACTCTACCAGTAAGAAGTTAGAAACCTGAATTATCAGAGACTACTTCCATTCTTTCATTATCAAAGACTACTTCCATTCTTCCATCATCAAAGACTACTTCCATTCTTCCATCATCAAAGACTACTTCCATTCTTCCATCATCAAAGACTACTTCCATTCTTCCATTATCAAAGACTACTCCCATTCTTCCATCATCAAAGACTACTTCCATTCTTCCATCATCAAAGACTACTTCCATTCTTCCATTATCAAAGACTACTCCATTCTTCGATCATCAAAGACTACTTCCATTCTTCCATCATCAAAGACTACTTCCATTCTTCCATTATCAAAGACTACTCCCATTCTTCCATCATCAAAGACTACTTCCATTCTTCCATCATCAAAGACTACTTCCATTCTTCCATTATCAAAGACTACTCCCATTCTTCCATCATCAAAGACTACTTCCATTCTTCCATTATTAAAGACTACTTCCATTCTTCCATTATCAAAGACTACTTCCATTCTTCCATTATCAAAATTAAATCCTCCACTACTTTACTATTAAAAAAAATGAAATTCTACAAAAAATGTTCTTACCTCAGAGTGAAGGATAAATTAGAAGCAATGACTTGACCTCCTTGGTCAGGTCAAGTCAGGTATGAGGAAGTGTGGCAGAATGTACTCAACCAGCGATGACACAGGAATTGAGATGGAATGTACTCAACCAGCAATTGACACAGGAATTGAGACAGAATGTACTCAACCAGTGGCTGACACAAGAATTAAGGTGGAATGTACTCAACCAGTGGCTGACAGGAATTAAGGTGGAATGTACTCAACCAGTGGCTGACACAGGTCTTGAAGCCTGGAAAATGATAATAAAACAAGTGATAATAAAGCAAGTGACCTTAGTGAGAGTGAGGTAGAGAGTACATATATACACACAGAAGTTACTAGCATATTGAACTGAACATGAAGTTAGAAGTAACGTTTGTTCCAGTGTCTCAGTTCAAGTTCAGGAGAACACTGTTCCTGTGACACCCATGACGTTAATATGACAGCTGTGACGTTCATGGGACACCTGTGATGTTCATGTGACACCTGTGACATTCCTGTGACACCTGTGATGTTCATGTGACACCTTTTCTAAATGTATATTATCGTGTATCTTTCTCAGCTGCATTCCAGGGAGTACAAATCGAGGGACTTCAACCATTCCCATTAATTTAGGTGATTTGTTGTACTTGTGTGTGTCGTGAATGTTCTCTGTACATTCTCCAGGTCTGCAATTTCACCTGCCTTGAAAGGGGCTGTTAGTGTGCAGCAATATTCCAGCCTAGAGAGAACACAAATAGTAATAGTAAACAGTAAAGTCAGAGGCAGCTACAGTGAAAAACTCTGTTCCACAAGGCACAGTACTCACTCCCATCATGTTCCTCATCCTCATATCTGACACAGACAGAGATGTAAGCCACAGCACCTTGTCTTCCTCTGCTGATGGCACTGGAATCTGCATGTATGTGTCATCCTTCGAAGATAATGCAAGTCTCCAAGCGCACATCAATCAAATCTTTAAATGGGCCACAGAAAACAATATAAAGTTCAACAAAGACAAATTTCAATTGCTCCAGTATGGAAAACTCACGGAAATTAAACTTGAATCAGAGTACAAAACAAATTCCGACCACGTAAGAGCGTAAAACTAATGTGAAGGACCTAAGACTGATAATGTCAGAGAATCTCACTATAAAGAATCACAACAATATATACTATACATGTACCACAGCAGCTAGGAAACTGACAGGATGGATAAGGAGAACCTTCAAAACTAGGGATGCCAAGCCATGATGGTTCTCTTCAATTCACTTATTCTCTCTAGGTTGGAATATTACTGTACAGTAATGACCCCTTTCAAGGAAGGTGAAATTAGAGACCTGGAGAACATACGGAGAACTTTCACAGCACGCATAAGTACGATAAAGCAATTAAATTACTGGGAACAGTTGAAGTCCCTTGATTTGTGCTCCCTGGAACACAGGTGAGAAAGGTACATGATAATATGCACTTGGAAAATCCTAGAGGGACTAGTCCCAAACCTACACACGAAAATCACTGCCTATGATAGCAAAAGACTCAGCAGGTGATGCAACATCCCCCCAATAAAAAGCAGAGGTGCCACAAGAATGCTAAGAGAAAATACATTAAGTGTCAGGGGCCTAAGATTGTTCAACTGCCTCACAGCATACATAAGGGGGATTACCAATAAACCCCTGGCTGTCTCCAAGAAGGCTCTGGACAGGCACCTAAAGTCAGTACCTGACCAGCCGGGCTGTGGTTCGTATGCCAGCATTCCTGCAGCCAGTAGTAACCTGGTTGATCAGGTCCTGATAAACCAGGGGTCAAACCCCCCCCCCATGCTGCAGGGAAATTGACCCCCGAAACCCTTTCCAGGTATATTCTAGCAGTGTAACATGTAGCATGTCAGGATAACATCTAGCATGTAGGTCAAACTTGTGTAACATGTAGTAAAGGTCAGACTGTTATGTAACATGTAGTAAAGGTCAGACTGTTGTGTAACATTTAGAGTGTAGATCACGGTTGTGTAATATGTAGAGTGTAGGTCACACAGTTATTGTGTAACATGTAAGGTGCAGAAGGTCCCACTGTTAGTGTAACATGTAGTGTTGCAGGTCACAGCTGTGTAATGAGTGTAGGTCAAACTTATGATGTAACATGTAGTGTAGGTCACACTGCTGTGTACTGTAGTATTTAGCAGGCCACAGTTGTGTAATATGTAGAGTGAAGGTCACCGTCATGAAGTGTACCATGTAGAGTGCAGCAGGTTGCATTGTTATTTTGTAACATGTAGAGTGTAATTAAGTTTGTTATGGTACAAATACACATAGCTACAATAATCATAGTTAAGCATGCATATGTGTAAATTGTCCAGGATAACTAACAAAGTCAGTGACTTATTTCCATTGGGGTCCTTGTCACATTATGTATTGTGTAACCTGTAGAGTGTAGGTCACACTTGTGTAATGGATTGCAACAAGTCATACTGTTGTGCAACATGTTTGAGTGCAGGTCACACTTATTATGTAACAGTCAACAGGTCAAAGTTAGTGTAACATGTAAAGTGCAGGTCACACTTGCCCATCATGTAGAGTGCAGGTCACACTTTTGTAGGGAGGTCTGATTTATGTAGGGAGCAGGTCACACTTATGTTGGGAGCAGGTTACACTTGTGTAACATGTAGCATGCAGGTCACATGTGTATCACGTAGAGTGCAGGTCACACTTGTGTATCACGTAGAATGCAGGTCACACTTGTGTATCACGTAGAGTGCAGATCACACTTGTGTATCATGTAGAGTGCAGGTAAGGTCAGGTCATCACATTGTGCTATCATCGTTAGAGTGCAGGTCACACTTGTGTATCACGTAGAGTGCAAGTCACACTTGTGTAGCATGTAGGGTGCATGTCACACTTGTGTAACATGTAGGGTGCATGTCACACTTGTGTAACATGTAGAGTGCAGGTTACACTATTACGTAAAATGCAGTGGTCACAGTATATGTATAGTGGTCACACTTATTGTAGTGGACACTTGTAATGGTCACATTATTATAGTGGTCACTATTATTGTAGTCATACTATTATTGGTCACCATTATTGTAGTCATACTATTATTGTAGTGGTCAATGTAGAGTGCAGGTGACACTTATTGTGGTGCAGGTCACACTGTTATTGTAGTGCATGTAATATGGTGAAGGCCACAATGTTAGCATAACATGTAGTAGTGTAGGTCACAGTTTAACAGGTACAATGCAGGTCACTTGTTCAATGTAGGTCACAATACAGTAGAATACATGTCACTTATTGTAGAGTGCAGGTCACACTTGTCGTGCAGTGTAAAAAGTAGTGCAGTAGGGTACTACAAAGTAGAGGTTACTTTAGATCACAGCAGGTCAATAGAGTGCAGCAGGTCCCTGCAGAGTACAACAGGTCACTGTAGTGACAGGTCATTGTAAAGTCCAACAAGTCACTGTAAACTACAACAGGTCACTGTAGATACAGCAGGTCACGTAATGCAACATGGTCACTGTAGATACAACAAGTCACTGTTTAAGTTGCAACAAGTCACTGTTAGTGCAACGTCACGAGTACAAGGGTCACTGTAGACTACAACAGGTCACTGTGACTGACACAGGTCACTGTAGACTCAACAGATTACTGTAGACTACAATAGTCACTGTAGACTACAACAGTCACTGTAGACTACAACAGGTCACTGTAGCTACAAGAGTTACTGTAGACTACAACAGGTCACTGTAGACTACAACAGGTCACTGTAGACTACAACAGGTCACTGTAGACTACAACAGGTCACTGTAGACTACAACAGATCACTGTAGATACACACAGTCACTGTAGAACTACAACAGATCACTGTAGACTACAACAGATCACTGTAGACTACAACATGTCACTGTAGACTACAAGAGATCACTGTAGACTACAACAGGTCACTGTAGACTACAACAGGTCACTGTAGACTACAACATGTCACTGTAGACTACAATGTCACTGTAGACTACAACAGGTCACTGTAGACTACATGTCACTGTAGACTACAACAGGTCACTGTAGACTACAACAGATCACTGTAGACTACAACAGGTCACTGTAGACTACAACAGATCACTGTAGACTACAACAGGTCACTGTAGACTACAACAGGTCACTGTAGACTACAACATGTCACTGTAGACTACAACAGTCACTGTAGACTACAACAGGATCAATGTAGACTACACATGTCACTGTAGACTACAACAGATCACTGTAGACTACAACAGGTCACTGTAGACTACAACAGGTCACTGTAGACTACAACAGATCACTGTAGACTACAACAGGTCACTGTAGACTACAACATGTCACTGTAACTAAAACATGTCACTGTAGACTACAACAGATCACTGTAGACTACAACAGGTCACTAGACTACAACAGATCACTGTAGACTACACAGGCACTGTAATACAACGATCCTAGACTACATGTCACTGTAGACTACAACAGATCACTGTAGACTACAACAGGTCACTGTAACTAAAACATGTCACTGTAGACTACAACAGATCACTGTAGACTACAACAGATCACTGTAGACTACAACAGGTCACTAGACTACAACAGATCACTGTAGACTACAACAGGTCACTGTAGACTACAACAGGTCACTGTAGACTACAACAGATCACTGTATACTACAACAGGTCACTGTAGACTACAACAGATCACTGTATACTACAACAGGTCACTGTAGACTACAACAGGTCACTGTAGACTACAACAGATCACTGTATACTACAACAGGTCACTGTAGACTACAACAGGTCACTGTAGACTACAACAGATCACTGTAGACTACAACAGATCACTGTATACTACAACAGGTCACTGTAGACTACAACAGATCACTGTATACTACAACAGGTCACTAGACTACAACAGATCACTGTAGACTACAACAGGTCACTGTAGACTACAACAGATCACTGTAGACTACAACAGATCACTGTATACTACAACAGGTCACTGTAGACTACAACAGGTCACTGTAGACTACAACAGGTCACTGTATACTACAACAGGTCACTGTAGACTACAACAGGTCACTGTAGACTACAACACTAACACTAGTGTGAGCGTCCTCCTCCTCTTTGTTTACATCGTCTCTGAGATTTAACAAATGACAAACAACATCCGCAAACATTTTACAACATCGTTATACAACAGATCAATAAAAAAATTACAAATCAATTTGTTGTAAAGCATTTGTTAAACATGTGCAGCCTGTTAAGAAAATGTTCAAATTTTATTCCTCGTTATCAGCAAGTAATTTTTTTTATCAATTATTTCGATGCATTATTTTGTGTGTGGCTGCCATGACGTGTTTAACATATTGTAAGGCAAGAATTAACTGTATAACTAGCATGCTACTCGTACATGAATTATTCTTGGCTGTCCCAAATCTACAAAGGTTCTTAATGTGAGGAAGGAGCTTGGTATTTCTAGTATTAGTGATAGGATTGTTGAGACGCCTGACGCCAAATTCAAATTCAAATTCAAATTCAAATTCAAAGTTTATTCTCTATAAGGATTACAATGCTGAGTTTACAGAATTTGGTTATTGTGTGGTTTACATGTAGTAAAATAATGATTAACACCTAGCATGGCTAGGCATTTCGGGCAGACTTAGTTTAATTCTTAATTTTAAAATATTACAAATTATGAGGTAAGTTGGTATTATGGCTAAGTGACTAAATACTAGTTTGTGAGTTTAGCAATGTGAATGCTTTTGTTTTGGCACAGTACATAGTTTCAGTATTGGAGTACAGTCTCGGCTGAGTAGTTGAGGGGAGTAGATGTGTGCTGGGGATCTGGACCTACTAATTCGCAGGCCTACCCATTTCTCCCGACTGATAGTCATCATTAAAACTCCTACTGTTGGAAGACAGCTTCAGTGTTGGGAGAACTCTTATGTGCGAGCTGTGACTAAGGATATACCTAGTGAAACACTGGAAATAGTTTTCCTTTTTGCAAAGGCCCTCACAGGCCTCTGCTTCCCCTCTGCCTTTCATTTGACCTCAGCCTTTCGCCTCTATCAACATACAGTGTAGAGGCGAATTTTGCTAGTCCACTGCTACTCGTGCCTCTCAAAATGCTCACACTCATCGCTTTACCAACCTGAGGAATAACGACGAGTGTGCAGTCCTACGTGAGTTGGTAACCCAGGTGTCCACACACTGAAAATTCGTCTGCAAGTTTGGAGTGAGTAACAATCTGTATGAGTATTGCAGTGTTTGGTAACTCTTGAGAAGTCTGCCTCAGCCTGTGACCTTGAGCGAGGCACTGCATCACCTGCCTGGACTTTCGCCATTTTGGACTATGTGAAGAAAGGCGAATGTGCATGCTCAGTTACCCCTGCTGTTTCCTGTATCCCCAACTCTCCGCCTTTAAACTCAGCCGTTCGCCTCTATCAACGACGTGCAGTGTAGAGGTGTATTTTGCTGCCCCGCTGGTACTCGAATATGTGAGTTCCACAAGTGCTGCAGATTTGTTGTAATATTTGCATGAGTGGTTTTACGTGACTTAGGACATTGTGCTACCATCAGTCCCTACATAGGCTTAAAATGAGTGAGGAATGTCTGGCCTGCTGGGTGACCTTGAAAATGGCACTATAAGACCCGCATCCCACTTACCCCCATACTGCGTGTGTTAGTGAGGTGAATGTCCCTTCCTCGACTTTCCTATTCCCCAGTATCCCTTAACTCATCGCCATTTTCTACATATGGGATAAGGGCGAGTTTAGCTGATCCAGGCCAAAACAGCGCCCCAAGCTAGCCAGGAAGGCCAAGGCTACATCTGTTCTGAATCCCAAAATGCCTTTGTGAAACGTTCTACAGTGTTCTGGCCGTACCTTCGGTGTTGTGAGAACTAGTTCTTTTTGTAGTGAAAATTTGTCTGTCATTCCAAGACACTGTGTTTGATGTATTAAGTGTGCGGGTTTGGAGTAATTACAAGTAGTACAGGATTGGTAACTCTCGAGCGATGTGGGCAGTGAATGCCTTGAAAATTGCACTGCGCCCTGCAGGCCACTACACCCATATTCCCTGTGTCTAGCGAGGTGAATATCCCTTCCTTGTCCTTCTCCTTTCCTCGATTTGGAACTCAGCCGTTCGCCTCTATTTGCTTGTGGTCTAGAGGCGGTTTTTTGCCCGACCACATGGGTGCTTGAATGCCTGTGTCCTCTGTGCTGCACTCCGCTCATCTTGCGAGTGTCTCCTGTGTGCCTGCCTGCCTGCTGCAAGCAGGTGTCCGGGTGGTTGGCGCGGGCTTGGCGAGCACAGTCAAGCAAGCTTGAGGACAGCACTAAAAGCTAGCCAGAACAAGCTAAGGCAGCCTGCAGTTATAGCTGTCCTAGGGCCCAGCATGTCTGTGTATACGTTCTGCAGTGCTGCTGGCATACCAGTGTTTCCTGTAGTGGCTTGAGAACAATTTGACGAGCATTGCCAGAGGTTCACTTATAAACATAGTAAGCTTGTGGTGATTGGCTTGTACACAGTGAACATTCATCTGTCATACGTGTGCTAGAAGTGTTAAGTGCTGCTTTCCCCAACAGTTAAATTTTCATTTGTAAGCCTGTTTTTAAAACTTTAAAAGGCTCAGAGTGTACTTTTAGTGCAGTGACTCCTTACATTTGATAAATCAGTGTAATACATGCTCTGCTCAGTGTAACTGAACTATTAAATACTGTTACATAATTTAAATTGCTTGTCCCAGTGTCATTGTTGTGTTTTTAATACATTTTCTCGTTCAGACTGAAACTTTACTGCTAAATTCCCCGTAATATTTCAAATTGCAGTGTTCATTTTGTTGATGTGAGTGTTTTAACTTATGCTTTGTATTTTTACTGTGAACAAGCTTACTGCTGCATAATGTTCAGTTTCATGAATACTTTCTTATTGAGTAATTCGGTTACCTTTCAACTGTGTTAAGCAAGATGTCAGCCTTTTTAACATCTAGTTTCCCTTTCCATCTCATCTAGTGGGTCTAGGCCTAGTTAAAATTGTATAGCAACAATTTTCAATCATTATACTTCTAGTTATACATTGCGTAAATTGTTTTGACTATTTGATCAACTGGATTGTAGTGTTTAAATTCTGATACCACCAATTTAATGACTGCAGGGCACGCACTGACATAATAAAAACATTAAAACGCTGGTAACTCCAGAAGCTGGGCCCAGTGTGTGACCTTGAGAAGTTCAGTGAGTTTATTACGACCAGCGGTGTACCACTCTCACCTATATTTACATCAACAAAAGTGTATTCTAAGTGATAAAGTGTACTTGGTGTACTTTTGGGAACACTTGTCATACATGTAACGGTGTGTAAGTGAGATTGTTTAGGTACTGGTTCATCTATATACAGCTGCACACTTATGCTTGCATACATGTATAACATAGTAACATGTGGGGTTACCAGGATGGACCAAGGAAGTCGACCAGATGATTTTCTCATTGTCATTGTAAAATTACCTAGGTTTTTTTTTTTTCTTTTTTTTTTTAGTAATACTGTTTACAATCTATGGTGGGGTAAGAGGTTGTCTTCAGCATTCATTGTGATGTTTTGCTATATTATTATTTCAGTGAGGTACATTAGGTGGCAGTTTGCTGAACTAACTCAAGTGGAAGTTATCATTGAATTTGACCTCATGTTTAATGGATTTTATGTCAGAATTCTAATTTTATGCTCAATATTACCTACTTTGTCTCTCTCTCTCTCTCTCTCTTCATCTTTGTAAT